CATTTCTCCTACAATCAGAATAAAAGTCCAAAACCCAAGGGACAGAACTGGGTAGGGCTTTCCTTAATATTATACCTGTACTTCAAGTTGTGGACGATGATGGTTCAGAAGCTTAAGTACCCAAATAAGAATTCCCCCATTAAAGAACCAAGTGATGATTCCATTTAATGGGAAGCTGGGGCTGTTACGTGGCAATTTAGTTGTTTTCAAGCCACTGAATAAACAGGCATGGCGTGCTGGTAATTAAACTCAAAAATTTAGTCCATTTTTGTAAAATATCAACAGAATTATAGCAGAACTGCAAGAGGAATAGACACACTAGACTTGGAGTTGTACCAATAATGAATAGGTTTGGATTTTCTTCCTTTGGGAGCTGGGGGCTATATTCCCAGGTGTTTGAGGCTGAAATATATTTAGCAGGAATGGAAAAAGAAAAAACCAGAAAGTATGTGAAGAAATGTGATTTTAATGTTGGGAAGACAAAGGAATTACTTACAGTAGGGATTCTTTTTTTTTTTTTCTTTCCTATTTTGTTTAGGCTGACCAGTATCAACATTGCCTTTCTATGCTTAGAAATCTAATTTGCCTTCAAAATCTCCATGGGAGTTGGCCAAATGGGCCAAGCAGATCTACCCTTCAAAGCTCTGCAGCTAGAACCACTAAGACAGAGAAACAGGACTGTGGGTAGTTTTGTGGTAGTAACAGCAAAGGCAGTTCTCAGAGGCAGCTACGGTGCTGATGTGGGTGACAGCACCGGGGGTCCAGTGACAGCAGGGTCAATGGCAGTATGTGGAAGGGGCGTGGCATTCAGCGATCAATAGTGGTGGCTGCAATGCCTGTATCCTTAGTTCTGGGTCTAGTGGGTTTAACTGTGATCCAAGCTGTATAGTCTTGGTTTGTTCTGCGCATTTTCTGAGATTGACTCTCCTTTCTGGGAATTCTGCGAGTCATAGTATCCTTAAGAATTCCCTGCTTCAGACGGCAGTTTAAAAACTTGCATCTGCCTCACTAGCCAGAATGAATTTAGGAATTAACAGTCTTTTCATCCCTTGTTTTCTTAGACACCTTAGCAGAGAGACTTTTCAAGGGAGTAGATTCGCTACTGCGGTTTATTAAAAAACAATGTCATCCCTAAGCTTAACAAGTTATAATTTACTAAGGGATGTACGGCACTTCCATGAAATACATACAATCCATAACATGAAACAGAATTAAACAGTAAATTGGGAAAAGACTGTGCCCATCAGAAAGTCTTTCTGAAAGAGACGGAATTATCGTTAATTCCCGCAGGATGGGCAGGAGATGGCATTTTGGGTACAGGAAGCATAAAGCACAGGAAGGAGACTGGCTGTGCACTGTGCAGGAAGACCAGCTTGACTAAAGGGCGTATATGAACTGAAACCAGTGTAAATGGTTAAGAGGGAACATGTAATTAAGGCCTTCTCTAATGGGAAAGGGAAATTCTCGATTTGATGAAACATCTTACACATCTTTAATTTTTTTTTCCAAGTTAAAATCTTTAAACATCAGGCTAAATATGTTGCCAGGAGAGGTTTCAGAAATCAAGTCTGAGCACGCCTCTTCTCTGGCTGTGTGCGAACTTCTCAGACAGGCTTTCCTGGGTGGACAGAAGGAAAGAGCTGGGGCTAAGGGGAGTTTAGCAATACAGCGTGAAGACAGTTCCAAATACATCAATTTGCATTCAATTTTCCATTATTTTGGAATCTAGTTTTTGTTTTTTAAACGTAAGCAGTGAACAACTAAGTAATTACAGTTTTGCACCGGCAGCGCAAAGACTGAAGATTATGACTGGTGGCGGTGGCCAGTCCCGCTGGTTGTCCTCGGCTCTTAGTAACATTCTTGCTCATTAACTTCAGGAAGACTTCCAGGGGTAAAGATAGATTTGAAAGTGGCTGAAAACAGTTTTTAAGCCCAACGTCCCTGGCTTGATAGTGATTTGACCACACAGTCCAGTCACTGGGTCAAAAATCAATTACAAAACAGAGGCGTCCCTGCATTAGCCTTCGTAAAAGATGGACTCGAAAACCACAACCCAGAATAAAGGCAACCATTAAAACACAGGAAATACAGTACTGGCTTTTTCTCTTGGCGAGGTGGGTCGGCCGCCGTCCAGCCCCGCTGTGGCTCCTCTGAAGTTCACGGTTCACCCGCTCGCCTCTGCCCAGACCCCCGTCCCCGCGGACAGCCTCGCCGGGGAGTCCCGGAGCCAGGCGCGGGCGAGGACGCCCTCCTCCTACCTTCAGGGCACAAGGTCCCCGGCCCCACCCTAGCCGGAGCCCGGGAGCCCCACCCCCGCGCCTCCGGCAGGCCCCGGGCCAGGTGGGGATGAGCCCGCGCCCCGCGCTCGCCCCGACAGTTCCGCGTCTGCGCAGCGGACGTGGGGCTGGAGCGGGGCCGGCCGGGGAGGCGCAGGATGCGCGGGAGCCAATGGGCACGCTCGGGGGAGCCGGGCTGGCGGCGGCGGCCGGCCGGGCGCGCACTCTCGGGATGGAGGGCGAGTGCCCGGCACCTCCGGCGCGCTCCTCGGGCCTCCCGGCTGGGGGCGCCGGCGCGGAGAGCCCCGGGGGCGACGCCCCCCTCCCGGGGAGCAGCGGCTCGTCCGCCCTGCTGCAGGCCGAGGTGCTGGATCTGGACGAGGACGAGGACGACCTGGAGGTGTTCAGTAAGGTGAGGGCGGCGGCGGCGGCGGCGGCGGCGCGGCGGCGCGTCCCGGGAAAGTTGCAAGTTAACTCCGGGAGTTGGCCCCGCTGCGCGGCCGCGGCCGCCCCGGAGCACGCGGGTCCGGCCCCGCTGGGGGCGGGCGGGTCCCCCCGGCTGCCCGACCCCGCCTGGCGGCTCGCTGCGCCCGGGGCGGCGTCCCGGCGGGTCCCGGACCGCAGCCGTGCCCTCCTCTGCACTTTGACCTCGCGTTCGGCAGGGCCGTGGCTTCGTGGAGTCTGCAAAGTTGTAATATTTTCTCCCTTTCTCGTCTTCTCTGACGCGGATATTTCCAGGGACAGTGCCCGAACCCCGGAGGCGGTGGCCGAAAGTGTCCCCGCCCCTGGCAGCTTCTTTTCGGGCGCAGCCAGCCGTGAACTCAGAGATCGCCCGAGTCTAGACAGATTATTCTTGATTTAGTGTTGCCGCTGGTTGTGGACGTGCGCCTTGGGTGGCACCCGCGGTGGATCTCCAGTCCAGCGGGGAGAGGCGTGAGGGATCCCTCTTCAGGAGAAAAAGGCTCGTGTGTCCACAGGGAAGCGCCTTCGCCGCGGAGCTCAGGGTTTTTCAGACAGTCAGCTCCTGCCACCCAACCCACCGCCAGTTCTTTCGTTTTTAAACCTTACCCGGGGAGATCTAGGACCAAAGGGCTCTCTTAACTTGTAGGACAGTTGGGGAGAAACTGACTCGGGTGAGTGGCAGGCTTGTGGTGCGTGGAGGCTGGTGACTGTAATTTCTTTTCAGAAAAGAAAAATACCTTTCTTGCTGGCCGTTCTGTGCTACTGCAGCTTCTCTCATTGCTGCTGGTAGAAGACTTGAGATGAGAACATTGTATAAATTACCGAGATGGCTGTGCAGTAGGTAACTGTTGCCTTGAGATGTAGGTAAAGCAACTTGCTTCACCGCTGCTTCATTCTGGGAGCGCGAACTCAGGTTAGAAGGTGAATAAGCGTTCTCTCAGCCCAGAGAGGACTATGTGAAACTCCGCTTCCCCTAATTTAGGGTTCAATGAAATGATAGGCCCAGCTGCATTCTAGATGTTCAGAGTATCAGTTTTGTGCTCTTGATAAAGTCATTTGACCTTTCCGTGTGTTTAAATTGTAAAACAGTGGAATTGTTTTATGTTCTCTTGTAAAAAGTTAACACTGCCTTTTTATGTTCCACACATTCTTTGTGCTCCCATCAAGGACAGTCGGTCAGCTCTTGTTTACAATGCCTTCTAAGATCCATTAGTCTATGAATTTCAGTGCTTGGCTCTGCACTGTGAATCTTCCAACATGGGGGGCAGGGAGAGTGTTGGGAGTGGCAGGTGCATATCGGAATCTTCTGGGATGGTTTACATTTGTCATGTTGGTTTCTCTTTCTGCAGATTCTAAGTGTCCCAGCCCCCATTAAGAATCACAGTTTTATTGAGGGCCTGTTGTCAGAGGCAGGTCTAAGGTGAAGCTAATGAAATTTAAGCTTCAGCCGTTTGTTTCCTTAGGCCGCTGAAAACGTTGAAAGTTATGGAGAGTTGTACACGTTCTAGGTGGGAAAGGAATGGCGGGCTGCAGCCAGAAACATTTCTAAGTAAGCATTTCTGGTGAATTGCCTAAAGCTATCTCAGTAGAAAGGAATCCACAACTCTATGGCTCCAATCCGTTTTTGAGATTTCTTTTCTCATTCTGAATAAAAATTTATTTTTCCACCCAATTTTTTGTTTGTAATTTTGTATTCTTTTTAAAAGGATGTTAAGTTCAGCAACATACTTAGCCACTGCTTTATTAAGCAGCCCATATGATAATGTGCAAGGTTATATCTTAATCTATATGGCCAGTTTCTGTAGAAGATGTTCTTAACTTTTCCTAAGTGTCCAACACATGTAGTTACACAGCACTGACAAGCAGGGTGGATCCAAGTGT